TGTCTATCCAGTGACTAAACAAATCTCACCGTTAGTGTCTTGTTAATGGGAGGGCTGATACTGAGGGCCAAAAAAGGCCACCACTGTCACCAAGGTCAGTGTTTCCAGGAGACCCATGCAGTAGCTGTAGTTAGCTGTCACTGAAACCCACGGAGGAAGGGGGGCTGCTCTCAGCTCGCCTTTCAGCCACCCTCACTGGTGCCAGCTGCACAAGGAAAGGCTGCAAAGTTTGTACAGCTGGCTCTGCAACAGTGGAGGCTGAGCTCTCACAACCAAAAGCTCATTTTTGGTTTTAGTTCTTCAGTATCTTTCCAGTTACTGGTTAAACAGTCTTCAAGGAACACAATGGCCCAATATTTTTGTCCAGTAATGTTTTGGCATCTCCTCTGCCTCTGGTGGTGCTGATGTTCTCAGATGATACCTCTGGACTAGATTCACTTTAGAAGTGCAAAAAATGCATGGCTATTTCTAGGGAGAAAGTCCTCTCTGTGGATTTCTACTTGGCTATAGGAAGTGTTTTTCATCATAGGTTGCAGTAAGAGCTACAATCCAGACAATCCTTCTGGTGTCTTTGTTGCCAGGAGAAAAATGATCTATCAAAGCCCATTTAGTGGGAACTTCAGTCAGACACTTACGAGTGCTGATTCTTCGTTATTTTCTCATTATGTGGTTCTTAGGTTTCTAAAGGTCTTGACATACGTACTCTACCAATAAGAAAAAATCCCTTCTCATGAGATTTAAGCATGTTACTTTTATCTTTAATGGAGCCACGTTTGAGCTGCTGTCATCACATTCACTAAGTCATCTGTCAATGAAATCCACATTTTTAGTAGCCATTACCTCAGCTCACGGATAAATAAAGTCCTAGCTTTTATGTCTAATCCTCCATATTATTTTCAGGTGGATAGGGTGACTCTGAGGCAACATCTTAAATGTATTCTAAAGGTGGTTTCAGGTTTCTTATGAATCAGTATATCCACTTACCAATATTTTTTTTTCCCAAGACCCAGTTCACCGGTAAGAGGATCAAAATGTTGATCATCCTTGAATGTTAGCAGACCATTAACGTATTACTTGAGGTAGACGAAACTCTTCAGCAAATCTGTGATGCTCTTTGGTCACAAACAGCCTTTATTGTACAGGAATGAGTCTTAAAATACTTAGCCATGGCCTCAAATGCACTCAAAATGAGTTACCAGCCTGCATCAGAGCCACCTTTGATGTAAGGAGATTAGATACACCAGCCCTTATCAAGGCATGCACAACTAGAATACAAGATGCTGCCACAGCCCATGCTGGCTGAATTCCAGCAGATGAGGGATGCAGAGATACCACGCAATTGCTGATACTCACACTTGGGAAGCAGTGCTGAGGATAGTAGCACAGAGGTTTGACACTGCAGAAGGGCACTGCTTCTTCAGTTTTTGTCCTAACAAAGCTAGCTTTTACTGACATGACTGCCCTTTTAATGAAACACCATTAAGGAGTTTCCCAGTCACCAGAACTTGAAGAAAGAAGAGCAATTCCTTTCGTTCCTGTAATTCTTTGCATGTTCTTTGGAATAGATCTCCCACCAGTGCCCTTCTGTTCTGCAGGCAGATGACTCATCCTCTGGATGGAGGGCTGCTGAAGAGCTGGGCGGTGATCTTGATACATGCTTGTGGGAGGAAAAGCAGAGGTGAGCAGGTTATGCACACACCTTGCTGTGGGCACATAGCAACGTTACAAACACTTGAATTCTTGTGCAGGAGAGACATATCCATTTACAGAGGGTTTTACTTGCATAGAACATTCTGAAGTGTTAGAGTTGTAAGTTTAGTAACCTTTTTATTGTTCTTCCTACAAAACTTTGTGTGAATTACATTATTATTCCTAGTATATTACTATATTGCCAGCTATTCTCATTATTACCATTAAAGGAAAGGAACTGCTAATAATATTTAGCAGTTAGTGAAAGTCATGAGTTTTTGCATAGGAATTACAACTCATTAGGAATCAGAAGTAGGATTTGTTGTGTGCACTGCTAAATTTTCTTTATGAAACCTGTTGACCCATAACATGGTTACATGCCAACCAGCAGAAGTCCTTCAGAGCTGTTATTTTAAAGCTGCATCAAAGAACAGTATATTCTTCAGAATATACTGAAAATGTATATGCATGTTCATTATATACTGTATATATGTACATACATATACTGTGTATATATATATATATATATATGGAGTGACAAAGCAAGTAGTTTAATCCATTTTATGGGTCCAACCTGGAGTTCTGCATACATGAACTTGTGTGTGGTCAAGGAGGCTTGCATATTTTTGAACTCTAAGTTGGCCTAATAAAAGATATCAGACTACAGTGCTTGCTTTGTCAACCCTGTTTTCCTGGTTCAACATGACTTGCAAGATTAATTTTCAATTTTCAACATAAAAACCAAGGAAAAAAAGTGTTTACTTACTGCAAGGAGTTGATTCCACATTAATGACCCTGAAGGAGGCTTGTACACAAGGTAAGGATTGTTGCCAATTTGATGGATATTCATGTTACAGAATATGAAAATGTGAAGTTACACCATCTTGAGGATTTTGTTTTTATAAGTTGGATTGGTTAAAAAAAAAACCTTTAAGTAATCATACTGTGCGTTTGATGGTGGAAATTAGTATGAATGTTTTTGGCAGTGGAACAATGTGATGTGGTTATGCATTTCTGTTTTCGCTGCCTGCTCAATATTGGCCTTTTACAAATACAGATTACCATGTCGATGGAAGGAATTTACAGCCTTGGCCCCCTTGGCCCTCTCTGTGTTACAGCACCTTTTTTGTACTTTACATTACATATCCTCCCAACTGTATTTTTCTGACAGAAAAAGGAAATGTCTGTGGGCTGAGAACCTGAAAATGCATGAGCTTCACTTTTTAATTGGATAAAATGTATATTATTTCCCACTTACCTTGATTTCCTGCAGGTAAAAATCTCACATCTCCGAAATCAGTAGCAAACTTTCTGCTCACTGCCGCAGGATGGACAGTTCGCCCATGATCCCTTACCAGTTAGTGATGTCCCATACTGGAAGCCTAAAAAGAAGTACCTTAATAATAATGACAATAGAGAAAACATTTTAACAATTGGGATTTAGAGCTGTAAGATAAAATCCACAAGTAAAACCTGACCTGAAGACAACGGCCGTATTTTTTATGTTTAATTTCATCAGTTTTTGGGTCTCATGGTCTAAATAGTTTAAACAGCAAGATCCGTTTGTGTTTTGTGGGCTGTTACACTGCATCCCTTACTTACTTCATCTTGTGGGCTGCTTGCTCTGACTTCATGGAATTGCAGCTGTATTTGCGGAGTGCTCTCGTCCTTTGGCACTCCCTCCCCTGTACCTTAATAGGCTTTGAATGCACCAGCATTTGCTCTGGAAGCAAACTTCACAATTTGTCTTTAATCCTGATGCAATGCATATTCAGAATTTTTTCTTTTCCCGGAGTTTAGTTCCAGAGGAAATCATGCTTGCCTGGTGCTCCCACCAGCCAGCTGTGGTTCATAACAATAATTAACAGTAAGTTACTGCAGCAGAAAGAGGGAGTGGGGCAATGCAGGCCAGAAGCTTTGGTTACATGGTTCTGTTCGTGTCTACGGATTCCAAAGTGCTTAATAAACAGTATTGCAGGCAGGATGGGCAGCTCTGCCCCTGAGGAAGTTTTCCTAATGTTTTCTGCTATAAGATTCTGTTCTCAGTTTAGAACTTAGCCAAACTCACATTTGGGTCAAATATATTTATATGGGATGTCATTCTCTAGAATTTTTTTTTTAAAGTATTAGCCATAGTGATAAGTGATTTAACTTCTTATAAGAAGGCTGGTAAAAAAAAAAAAAAAAAGACAACAACAAAAACACCCATGTTGTTATTCTACTTAAGAAAAAAGAAATAATAATAATGCAACCCTGAGTTTTAAGAAGTTTAAGAGCAAAGACAGATCTTTCTCTTCCTTTGAATCAGGTATATGTCTTCTGCCATCTCCACAAAGCTTTTCAAATTTGGTCGACTGTTTCAAGAAGTGGAAAAAAACACAGTTACCAAATATTCCATAGAGATTTACTAAGACCTAACAGCAAATATTTCCAGAGATTTCATCTTCTCTGCCTCACACAGCTCCTTCCCATGCTCAGACTTTCCATACATCATCCTCACAGAGTGGCTGAGCAGTCACCAGCTGGGTGCACCAGTGGCTAGGCTGGAAGTGACCCCTCTGGTATTGCCTCTGGCCTTTACTTGGACCTGCAGCCTGTCCCTGTTGCCTTAAGGGAAATGTGGAGCTCTCAAATTTTATCATTTGTGGCCAGCCTCCAGCACGGCTTCTTTGCCACTTTCCTGAATGGACATAAAGAATGGCCAAGAAGGTCTTGGGAGCCAAACGTAATGTAGACATTAGTCCTGTTATGACTGGGGCATGGATCACATGGATTCCTAAGGTCCTTCCCAATTTCAGTTAGACCACCATTCTGTGATTCTTTGCCATCAGTCTCTCTGTCAGTCTGTGTGGGCCTGAGAACACCATCCCAATGATGGGTCTCTGTGGGTATGATGCCACATAGTGGAAATAGTCTTAGAATCATAGAATCATTTGAGTTGGAAGGGACCCTGAAAGGCCATCTGGTCCAGCTCCCCTGCAATGAACAGGGACACCTACAGCTCCATCCGGTGCTCAGAGGCCCATCCAGCCTGACCTTGGGTGGATGGGGCATCCACCACCTCTCTGGGCAACTTGTTCTAGCACCTCACCACCCCTGTTGCAAATAACTTCTTTCTTACATCCGGTCTAAATCTCTCCTCTTTTAGTTTGAAGCTATTTCCCCTTGTCCTATCACAACAAACCCTGCTGAAGAGTCTGTCCCCTTCTTTCTTACAGCCCCCTTTAAATACTGAAAGGCTGCTCTCGGATCACCTCAGAGCCTTCATGCTGAACAGCCTCAGCTCTCTCAGCCTGTCCTCATAGAAGAGGTGTTCCATCCCTTGGATCATTTTTGTGGCCCTCCTCTGGATGTGCTCCAACAGTTCCATGTCTCTTCTGTACTGAGTACTCCATATCTGAACGCAGAACAGGTGAGGTTCATTAGTTCTGTAACAGCAGGTATATGGAGAATGCCATGTTAAGGTAACACTGAATTTACAAGAATCAGTTTACATAAATTAAGAATAAAAGACTGATTTCTGCAGCTTCGTTTTGCTTTCAAAACGTGTTTGCATTGTAACACCGACTTGAGTTTTGTGAGTATGCTGTCTATTCTCATATGGTTTTGGCCATACATCTAGTATGTATCTGCTTTGGAGATGAATCAGCACTGAGCAGAATTGATGGATGGCAACTGCAGAACTCCAGCTCACATGTAGAGAAGCTGAATTTTCCTGAATGAATCAGGATGTGGTAGAAAAAGAAAACAAGGTCTTCCAGTTGAGGTTGAATTCTACCCTGGAAAGCTGGACAATATCCCTGCCTCTGCTACCATGCTTCTGTGTGGTAATAGGCAAACATTTCCCAAGTGGTTATTAATTGTCAAAAGGGCCTTTCTGCTTGTGCCAGTAGTGCAAGATTATTATGCAAATGTCATCCATCAGTCACCACTCTTTGTACGGTAATGTCACGTATGATGTTCCATTAATAAAGCCTTCATCAAGTCAGTTCAGGTAACTGTTAGCTCCTTATATCTGCTTATCATCTAATGCTCACCTTATATTTACATATCCTTCTAAATATTTGCAGATGCTTATTTGGCAATGAGCTAGGCAAAGTATCTTGAAAATCTTTGTAATTCATGGAAATGTTCAGGCACCGTATAAGATTGTTTTTCAGACCTCATCAGGCTTAATTAGATCCTGCAGTTCATTCATTTGCACTGAAGTCAATTGGAGTTTTACATGTGGAAAGTCTGCAAGATCAAAAATTATGCCCAATGGGCACATAGTTGTATAGAAGAAAATGTCAGCTCCGGATGGTAGTGTTTCTGACTTCTCATCAGTTAGACTCTCATTCTCAATTAACTTTTCTTGTGTTTTTATGTGAGTGGTTTTGAAAGGGTTCCTGGGAAAAAAAAAAAAAGTTGCTGTGTCTCCTGTACATGTTTTCATTTACAGATCAGTGAAATGGATAGACAGATAAATAAATAGATAGGGTTTTCTGTACTCGTGAAACATGTCACATAACATGAAACCCTCTTCTAAGTCCATTTTGTCAAGTACGTCAAATGATATTTTTGGGATTAGACTGCTGGAGTGTATTTTCAGCATTTCTTATTGCAGCTCTTGATCTATGCACCCTTGTTTGACAGTCCCTTAATCTGGTCGATAGAAACCAAATGAATAGCAGCATTTAAAAATATGGCTTCAGGGACTCCTTAGGAGGTTTCTTTGTAAGTGTACATTTACTAGTTCATCTGTAAATTTATTTTATGGGGTGTTTAAACCTCAAGAAAACTGAAAAGCATAATATTAATGCCTGGTTTACATCTACTGAAGTCAACGAGAACTTTGCAATTGACTTTAATGGTAGCCTATGTCCTCTAATTATGAAAGTGGCAAGGATGATATACAAAAAACCACAAAGAGAGTTTTCTGTTTCATCATACCCTAATTTTTTTTTTTCTTTCTTTCTCTTTCTTTTTTTTTTTTTTTTTTTCCCAGATGTATAACAAAGTACACTGTGGTTTGTTCATGGATTAAACAATTCAGCATTTTGGACGTAATCTGGAATTACATTGCTGCTTTAGGTGGTGTTTTGATGCTCAGAAGATCACGGACTACTCATTCTCTGCATGGCTCACAGAGGTAAGAGGGTAGGAAACCCAGCCACATTTTCAAAAGGCTTTTGAAAATAATGCTTTTAGTTTTGGTCTTACATCTACCCGTTGGTGTGAGTAATGGAAGAAGTTAATGAAGCAGTTTTCTTTCTAGTTGTCTTTTTTTTTTTTTAACGTTTCATGAGATAATTTTGACAGGGTTCCTGGAAATCCACATAATATCCACAGTATATATATGTACGTGTTTTCCCTTAAGGTTCACTGAAGTGTAGTAAAAAGTTTCCATCACGCAATTGTAATCCCAAGGCATCATTTTTGTATCGTGTTAGTGAAAGTGAGTGAAAGTACACTGCAAGAAAAAAAGGACTTGCAGAGTTAAAGCTGTTTTTCTGCTGGTGTAACAAGCACAGCAGTCTGAACAGGCTCGGTCTGGTAAGCAATTTGTAGCAGTAAATAAAGCTGGACAAAAATTCCCACAAACTTTTTGTTAAGTCTTCTTCAGAGGTATTACTCATCTGGTAGCTGAAATGCTGCTCTTGCTTCACATTTTTAATGCTTGTGAAAGTTTTACATATTTTAGTAGTAACTGGAAATGCTATTGCTCTGTAGGGAAGAGCAGTGTCAAAACGTTCCCAGTGGGAAAGGGCTGGAAATGGCCACTTTAATGTTCCAAGGTATGGCAGTGAAACCCCAGAGGAGCAGATGGGAGCATTTGGGTCCCTGCTGGGCCAGCCTTTGAGATGCTCTGAGCAAAGGTGCATTGGGACGTGACGGTGGGAGAGCTCACTTTTAGGGTGGGCTCCAATCTATTAGAACAGAACACCATTAGAAAGGAATAATTTTGCCTCAGCTCAGCCAGCTCCCTCCATATCTGTGGAGAGGGCTTGCAGCTCTCCAGCTCCCTCCTCCCAGGCTGGTGGGGGCTCAAACCTACCTGGTTCTCCCCTCCAGGCCTCCCAGATTCTCAGACTTGTTACCCCTTTCAGATATCCAGCTCTGAGGCTTCCTCACTGCTGGGCAGCTGCTTTTTTTGAGGTACACCAGTGTTAGGGCAGCCAGGAGTCCAGCAGCCATAGGTTTTGTGCTATCTAATGATACATTTGCTTTGGGAGTTGAAAATTTTAGATACTGGCTTTCTAAAAGAAAAAAATAATTTGTCTCAAATTGTCTCTCAGAAAAAAAAATAAAAGAACAGACTTGTTGCTGGCTGAACACAAAATTTGTGTTAACATTGCTTTGAGAAACATTAGTTAGAACAAGTAGGGATCATTCTGGATCGATGCTGCAGCTCTCATTCCATCCTTATCATCAGGTCGCAAATAGTATAATTAGACGAATAAATACAACTGGAAATGACATATTTTGGTAAGATTTATATTTCCTAGATGTTTCTCATCTGTATCTCACACAGACATGTAACTCTGTATTTCAAGGCCAGGCTGGATGTGGCTCTGGACAGCCTGGTCTAGAGGTTGGCTACCCTGCCCATGGCAGGGGGATTGAAACTAGATGATCATTGTGGTCTTTTTCAACTCAGGCCTTTCTATGATTCTATGATTCATTCTGTGATCTCCAGTGAAAGACATGCAGAAGTAGGGCCTTACTTCTCAAGGTAGGGCCCATGTACCTATAGATAGAGTAGGTAACCAAATGACTTCTCAACTGAACCTATTTTAGATTTACTTTTGATGAAGACCATGAAAAAAAGAAGAGAAAAAACAACATATAAGGAAGTTGGAAACAAATACTCACAAGCCTATTGCATTTGCATTAAATAGAAGACTAAATAGAGGCAGAACTGTAGTTAAGGTTCCTTATTTTGAAGATAAAAAGTTTTGATAAGCTACATGAATTAACTGTTGAAGTCATCCGCATTAAGAAGAATCAAGGAGCTGAACTGCAGAGGCTATTTCTTTTTTTCCCTCAAGTGTGAAAACTATCCGGAACTTGTATACGAAACAAAGGAAAAAATGGTAATGGTGAGAGCACCTTATTTAATTTGATGGGTAATCACCAGTGAAAATACATCTGTAGGTAGTGCAAAGACAGAAGAGGAATCGACAAAGAAAGTGATGAGTAAGAGAGCAGGGTGAGTAGGAATGAAGTAAGAACCAATGGAAGGAAATAGCAAAAGCTTCTTCATCTAGAAAACACTGAGGAAGAGGGGAAGGCTGCTCTGCACTGAAGGCAGGGGTAAGATGAAATAGAATCTGCGTTGGACCTCCAGGCTAAAATGATGAAGAAATAGGGCAAAGTCTGGATACTCAAGTCAGTGGAGTGGGGTAGATGTTAGTCCAGAATTCAGACAAAATAGGTGTATGAAACCACATGCCTGAGTGTCTTACAAGAAGGGAAGAGTCACTGCGACAAGAGCAGGTTTGTTAATCTGGGTAAAAAGATCAAGGGCGCAAGTCTTTAAAACAGATCTTGGAGGAAAAAAAATGTACTTAGTAAATAGAAAGAAGTATTGAAATAATCAATTTTGGAAAAAAAAAAAGTCTGAAAATGACATGCAAATCTGGAACTTTTTGATTTAATGGAAAAAGGGCATATTGTAAATCTAACCTCTCTGGATCTCAGTGCAGAATTTGCTGTGGTACAGCAAAGTATTTAATATTTCTTTTTCTCTGAGGAGAAGGGAGAGAAGTAGTGAAGTAGAAAGAGAGGAAGTGAGGAGAAGTAAAGGTGCAATTCTCTAATTGAATTTACCTGCAGCTAGTTTGGGTGAGGTTGTTATGTATTTTTCTCTCCATGAATTGATATTACATCCTGCACAGTGTGCAGTGTTTAGTGGTCCTGTGTGGATTCAGACTACAGCGTGGATTACCTCTGTTTTTCTCTTAACAGAGTTTAAAATATATGATGCTTCTGCTGAAAGTGTATGTTTTCAGATGGAGAATCAATAACTGTCATTCTGGTGCTCAGGGTAGGGTTATAAGATGGCAAAGAACCCAAATGAAAGAAAGTGAGAGAGAGTAGAAAGGGGAAAAAAAAGGCAATAAAGAAGAGAAATACAAATATATGCAATGCTCTGGAGCATTCTTACTTCTTCTGTGCAGAGGCACTGCTGTTCAGGTTGGTGATAGGTAAGTAATGTCCAGTTACGTAGCGTTCGTCCTTCTGGGACAAATACTTGGTAACTTGGTGACTACTGATGGTAGAAGTTCAGAATGTCCTAGGTGGAGTAAAAGGATAAGGATGTGGAAATGGTTCCAACAGTAAGGTTATTCCATTCAGTGTGAGTTCAATAGGCTGAGTTAAGAGAGCAGGAAAATTTGACCAAATTCAGAGCTCTCATCCTTTTGCAGAGGCTTATTTGAATTCTGGGCTGTTTCTATAACATGCATGTATTTCATTTGCCATGGCAAACAAGGGCTCTAAAACCAGAAGTATGTGCAACCATTGGCTGGACATGATAAATTTTACAAGGAATACGTTTGAAGAAACTCTATCTCTGAAGTATCTGTTGAAGCAAACAGCCTCATGTGTCTCCTATTATCCAGTGAGTTTACAGCAATATACCCCTTTTTTCATGTGCTTGCATTTTCCAAAATAAAAGTAATCTTTGGAAATCCGTCACATAACTATCTTCATGAATCATAAAACATAAAAATGTTATTGTCTTTTCACAGATGGAAGAACTGGAGGAACAGAGATGTGAAGCTGTCCGCTCAGAGCTATATAGGAGGCCAGTGACAAATCCAGGAATCCAAGCCAAAGCTCCTAAGTTGCATTCTAATTCTCTAATCAGCACAGAATTTGCCTTCTGGCATTGTGATGAGGTATGCCATAACATTATCTATATTTTAATGATTTACTCAAGAGGAACACACTTGAATGTGTGTCCAGTTTTGGGCACCCCAGCATAAGAAGGACATGGAGCTGTTGGAGCAGGGTCAGAGGAGGGCCAGGAAGGTGATCAGAGGGCTGGAGCACCTCTCCTACAAGGACAGGCTGAGAGAGCTGGGGCTGTTCAGCATGGAGAAGAGAAGGCTGCAGGGGGATTTTATAGCAGCCTTCCAGTACCTGAAGGCTTACAGGAAAGCTGGGGAGGGACTTTTTATAGGGGCATGGAGCAATAGAACAAGTGGAAATGGCTTTAAATTGGAAGAGGTAGAATTAAGCTAGATGTTAGGAAGAATTCTTTACTGTGAGGTTGGAGAGACACTGGGACAGGTTGCTCAGAGAGGCTGTGGATGCCCCCTCCCTGGAAGCATTCAAGGCCAGGCTGGATGGGGCTTTGAGCAACCTGGTCTAGAGGGAGGTGTCCCTGCCTATAGCAGGGGGTTGGAACTAGATGATCTTTAAGGTCCCTTCCAACCCAAACCATTCTATAATTCTACATTTGCCTTGCAAATAATTCAAAATAATTCATTGAATTCTAGTTCTGAATTTAATTTCTGATACTGTTTTCTTTTTAGTTGGACATTTTTTTCACAAATATTTCTTCATAAGTTGGGCTCAAATCATACAGGTCTCAAAATATGATTTAGTACGTGACCACAAGTTACTGTCTGCAATTATCTGAGAGTAGCTTCAATAATTCAGATTTCTAGATTTTTCGTGGTCCAATATATATGTTTTCTTCAGGGTCCTGGGCACCTCCACTTTAGCTTGCCATCACAGGGGACTTTGGGTAGTTAGCATCTCAGAAAAAGGAGATAAAATTGTGCATCCACAGTGAGGATGTTTCGAGCATTGGAAATCACTTTTGGAAATATTGCTGTGAATGTGCTGAAAGCATGAAAAGCTCAAGTCCAGCTCCATTATAGCTGGAACCTTCTCCAGCAGCCCCAGACATTAGAGGTGCTGAGGGTACAGAAATCCATTACAGATCCTAATGCTGCCTGGCATATTGAGGAGCATTTGTCATCGTTTTGGCAAAGGTACAGCTTGCTTTCTGTCTCTCCTAGCTATGTCCTCGTATACCAGTTGAGGGACATGTGCATAATGCTTCTCTTTGAGATGCTAATCTTCTGGAGTGTTAAGCACCAATAATAGCGTTAGCAGCTGGTTTTACTCACACTGAAAGGTCTGAAGCAGCACAGCAGCTTTTTGCATAGGATAGGAAGGATTTCGTTCAGGCTTTCACCTCAATTTGACATATCCATGCTGAGGGCTTCCCAAAATAATACTAGGATATGACACTGAAACACCACTGAAGCAACGCTTTGGTGGATGGTATCTTCGTGATTTAATAAGAGCAAATATTAAATCAGATTTGAAAACTATGTTGCTTCTACAACATGCTCCTTATAGTATCTTTACATTTCCAGATGTTTATTATCAAGAGTTTACTGGACACAGGTGATGAGCACGCTCAGAGAGTATGGTTAGGTTAGCTGCTATTGAATCACAGAATATCTGTAATTCATCCATGCTTCTCCCACCAGCAGGTGTCATTCTGGAAAAAGGAAAATATTGTGAATCCCAGAAGTGGAGAATTTGGCCGTGACAGAAAAAAAAAAAAAAAAAAAAAAAGTTTGCTTTAAAATACAGTTTTTGAAGGATACGTTACTCCAAATAAAAACCAAGACAACGTTGGCTGGTCTACATTGAAGCAGACTGTGAGAATATTTTCTCAGAATCTTTGCACTGCGTAACCCTGCCATATAACGAACAGAGGGCAGAGGATGGTTGAAGCAAACCAATGCCTGGTTAATGATGTCTCCTGCCTTTTGCAGTTGCATGTGTCACCTTCACCACTGTGAACTCTCCTCCCATGATGACTATCAAGTAGTGATAATCATCAGTTTTTATGATGGGCTTTGGGCTTTAGTTCCCCCAAAGGGCATACAGAATAAGGTGATGAATGCAAATCTCATTTACTTTGATAACAGCTTGAAGTAAACTCACTGAAGCAACTGAAATCAGCAGAATTGCTTCAGATTGAGTCTGAAGTAAAGAACAGTAGAGTTTCACTTTCTACTTCATAAATAAAACTTGAGAATCACGCAATCATTTTGATGCCTATTAAAATGAGAGTTATGTCACCTCTTAAGTGTTCACCTGGTTATTAGATGCAGATTCCTTTAATATTAAGAGCATAATTTTGATAACAACACTGACAAAGCTGTGCCAGAATTATGAAGAATCAAGACATCACTGCTTATTGCTTGAGTACTCCAGGTCTGCTGAGTCTGGTCTTCTGGCTGTTAAAACCAAACTTGCTGAAAAATCCATGCAGGAGGTGTACTGCCCAACCTTGTATTCCACTCGAGGTTTGTTCCAACCCATTACAGCTCTGATGATTATAAATAGTTCTGAATATAAATAGCTCTGTCTTTCAGCCTAAATTTCATAGTATGACAGAATGGCTTGGGTTGGAAGGGGCCTTAAAGCCCACCCAATCCCAGCCCCTTGCCATGGGCAGTGCCAGCCAGCAGCTCAGGCTGCCCAGGGCCCCATGCAACCCAGCCTTGAGTGCCTCCAGGAATGGGGCACCCACAGCTGTGGCAGTGCCTCACTACCCATAGTGAAGAATTTCTTCCCAATGTCTAATCTAAATCTCCCCTCTTTTATGCCCCTTTTTTAAAGGCATTATCCATTGTCCTATCACTACAGTCTCCCTCCCCAGCTTTCCTGCAGGCTCCCTTTAGGTACTGGAAGGAATTTATCCGGGGGAAAGATGAGAACAATCTCCAAGGTTTGGCTCTGAGGAATACATTATGATGTGAATTAATTTTATGTTTTCAAAATTTGGACTTACTGTGAAGTGATGGGAAATAATTGTGCCGTAGGCGTCCATATCTTTTTCAATAAATTATTTAAATACAAATGTCACAATGCTTTTCTTTTGGACAGTATAAAACACTGTTGCTGAATGAGAAAAAATAGCATATGTACTTAGAATTAAAAAAGTTCACTCTAGAATAGTTCAAAGCAATTATTGTTTTCAGTATTTAACTTTAAAAATGTATCAGTCTTCTAAAATATGAAGTAAAAAGAGCATCAAAGTGCAGTGAATTTAGCTATTCCATTATGCGCTTTATTTTTATGGGACCTGGATGATTTGCAGCAATTATCTACAACTGGCTTTTATACAGGTAGGTATGGGATTTATTCTGCATATCAAAGTGAAATTATATCTTTGGAGTATTATTTTCCCAGCTTTTAGTTAAGCGATCATATTAATTTTTGTTTAGTTACTTTTTTTCCTTTATTTTATACTTCATTGTGTTAATTTTGGAAGAAATGCACGTGCCTAAGCATTGCCCTGTGTCGCTTTGGAGCCCCTGGGGAGTCCCAACTGGCCTCTTGCTGACAGTTCAGTGGTGCAGATCTCCTGTAGGTCCCACGCTGTCATTGTCAACCCACTACAGGTGCTGCAGAGACTCTGGGTTGCTCCAGAGGGCATTGGGTACCTTCCTGTGGGCATCTGAACTTTGATACAGCTGCAGAAGAACACCGTAAAAAAAAAAAACAACAGCAATACACCTTTATAAAGGCTTAACAAAGTCAGAAGTGGCACAGCTGTGAAAGTAATTCCACCTAAGGTGTTTTATCCATGTTTAACAAGGAGTAGGGGCAGGAAAGTAATTCCGTATCTAGCAAGTAGAGGGTTATTGTGTTTAACAGGATGCCATCAAAGGTCTGTTTTGAATTAAGGTGTCTGAGCTGAACCCGTATGCGGGTGGGGAGATGCTGATGCTGCGGGAGAGCACAAGAAGACAGCTGTGAGGCTCAGGGCTTGGGGCACTGAACAGTCCATCTTTCCCTTGCAGATGACGCGCGCAGGCTCTGACTGAGAAAATGGGGCTTCCCAGCAAGAATACAGTGGTTGGAGGTTCAACAGTGTTGGGAGTCTGGAAAAAGTAAGCATAATTCCTCAGATTGGGGCATGATGCAGCAAACTAATATTGATGAAGAAAGTGGTAACTTCAGGTACCAGGCACTCAGCTACACAGAGTTAGAGAAATACATGCAGTAATTACAAAGCTATGTTAATCAGGTTCATTTTTGATGGTCTGCTGAATAGGAGGGAAGTAAAAAACCTTGAATATATTAGTTGGTGTGGTTATATAGGCATTGTACAATGCTGAACTGAATGTTCTTCTAGAATATAACATATAAAAACAATATAGTGCATAAATCTATAACTCATAATGAAGCTAAAATTGTGAGAGGGTAGCAAACTGTGTGTGAAATTCACTACAGGCAATCAATGAGGATTGTATAGGCAGATAAAACTTTCCCATGAACTGTTTTTTATCGGTCAGTAGCATTATGATCGACAGGAATTTGGATTATTGTTGCAGAAGTTTAAAAGTCAAATTGTTACAGAAAATAGCATGGTGTAGGGTGACCCACAAAGCAATCAGGAAATGGGGTTTAATCGTGTAAATATTAATTCTATAATTTGCAAATGAAGCAGAAAAATTATTCTTGTTCACTCTTTTTTTTTTACTGAGTCTGTATGATTCTTTTCCAGGATGAACCCCCAGGCACAGCAGCAGTGGTTGTGGGAGAGGAGAAACAAACATTCTCCTTGCATCACTCATGCCAGCAGTCTGAGCAGGAGGAAGGTAGAGGAACACTCCTACAGAGAACCAGGACTGGTTTGTCTCTTTAGAAGGGAGCAATGATATTTTGAACATTTTTACCAAATCCCAGAGTGTGCAACAGCATTTTATGGACTGGGAATTATATAACCGAAAAACTGTGAGATGGGAAAGAATTATAGGAAGCCATGGAGAGCTGCAACCTAAGCATCCTGAAATTGGTGACCAAGCCCCAAGGATGCCTCTTGTTACTGCAGCCACTTTCAATGACTGCTGTTTTTTTGTGTGATTTACCAGCCCCAGTGAGCTCCCCAAGACAGAATAGGTAAAGATGGGCTTCAAGTTGAGCCAGGGGAGATTTAGGTTGGATATCAGGAAACATTTCTTTACAGAAAGGGTTGTTAAGCAATGGAATAGGCTTCCTGGGGAGGTGGTTGAGTCACCATCCCTGGATGTGTTTAAAAACTGTTTGGATGCGGTGCTCAGGGACGTGATGTAGTGGAGAGTTGTTAGGGTAGGATGGTTACGTCATGGTTGGACTCGATGGTTTTGAACATCTTTTTCAACCTGAGCAATTCTATGATTCTATGATTCAGTGATTTTGGTCCAGAAGAAGATTCTGCAGTAGTGAACTGTTTGGCTTGTGGAATGAGTTACAGAATTCCTATTTAAAAAACAAAGAAGATGGTGTAAATCTGCACCTGGGAGGTAGCGGATGCTTTGAAAAAGGCAATTCAAAAAATAATGGACTGGTATTGAAACTCTGTGATCGGCAGTTTAAGGTTTTATAAGTCTTTATGCTGAGACACGAAACATGTAATTAGAATAATAACTGTAAGCAGAGGGCGATGCAACCATTATCTAGATCATGTGTTAATACTGAAGAAATTTAAAAATTTGCCCTCCTCCCCCCAAATTTTTAAGACCTAATTTGACTGTTTGTTCTTTTTCTTTTTTTTTTTTAATTTAAAAACATTTTCAATTGTGTTACATTTTGCTGAGGAATTATCTCGTTTTCCTGTTGTCTGAATAAGAGTCCCTGAGTCCTGGTCCCAAATGTCAGTATTTGCACTGTGCTGGCAGCTGTGTGTTTGTGGTCACCCCACGGCAATGTTTGTAAGGACTGTATACAGTGGCAGTGTCTCTTCCAGAGAACACCAGGAGGAAAATAGCATGTGGCCAACTCACATGTAATTTATTCTCCTTAGCGGAGGTCTCACATACGCAGTACTTAAATGGCACTTTTTGTTTCTGGGTAAGATGAAGGTAACTGATAGAAACCATTCAAAAGCCTCTCTGGCTGTTGCTTATGTTCCCTGCAAAGGACTGAAGAGAACAGCTCTTTGGAGACGAGGCTTTACATTGAACATACGCAGGGCTGTGTCATTATTAATTCTGCAAATGTATTTACAATGGTTAGGTAAAATATTTAGTTACTATTTAAATATTTTGATGTATTATAGCTCATACCCAAATTTTAGATGTCTACTGCACTTAACATTTCCAATTTAAATAACCGGTTTCATTAGGGTTTTTAGTGATACAAATTAATAACAAAAGGCAGTTAATGCAGAGTACGGTTATGAGACCAAAATACATGTGGTTTAAATTTAAAGAATTAAATGTTAGCATTTCCCTATAGAGAAAGGTTATTTGGGCAGTGGTGTACTGACATTATCACCACCCACGGAGAAGGGGGCCTGTTGATCCTATTGGTTAAGTACAAATTCAGAAACGGAAGAAATGTTGGTCTAGAGGGTTTGCTTGGTGTGAGTGAATCACACAGGAAAAATGCTGATACCTAGGGTAGCTCAGTGACCTTCTTTGATGGTTAGAAAGAGAAATAAGCACACAAGGTTTCTGTCAAAGTCAGAAGGTTTAGGTTGCTCGCTGGGTAAAACCGGCCCAGGTTATTAATATAGTGGAAAGTTAAATGATGAGCATGGAAGTATGATAATAAGCTCTGTTGTAAGTGAGACAGAAATCATTTTCTGTGGCCAGTAAGAACGATAATCCAACGTGTTAACCATTGGGCTCGAGGGCTGCTAAGAAAATAAATGTGCAAAGTGGATAAAATAAAGGCTGAAAGTATGTTTAAGTAGGTGTTTCTTCAAAGCTTTCTTCAGGAGGGTGTTTTGGACACTCTGCCCTACTGCTTTTGGCAAGACATGTCTGTTATAATAAAGGTAAGCATGCGGCTTTCATTCTAGCAGAAAATAGTGCTAACTGTAGCTCAGGATTTATGTGCTTTTGTAATAATTTTCGTGGACTTAGCTAGAAACAAATCTATTGAAGGTAGCAATTACTAACTTGGCACTATTTGACGTTAGTTAAATCTGACAACGCTGGGATGGCTTCACCTATTATTCCTGGAAGAAACTGCAAAATCGGGTGGTTTTAGGGCGTTTTGTGTGGATGTGGGACTGCACAGAGAAGGCAGCTCTCAGCATCAGTGCACGTAAGGAAAACTTGGCTCTGAGCCTCAGGCTGACAGCTTGGAAACGGACTGGGCTGAAACGCAGGCTCCCAATGCTCTGCACTTTGGCTTTTGAAAATTTCTGTGTGAGACCTAATTTCAATCTGAAAAATCAAAATACAGTGCTTTGTGATCAGTTTTGCTTTGTTTCAACCTAAAACTCAAAGCAAAACTCTTGGTGTATAGAACTGTACAAAGTAAAACAAAGAAAGTGAACCCAAGAGCTCTACAGACTGAACAAGCTAGTTTCACTTAGCTCTCAAAATAATCCCCATTTTGCAAGTTCACTTTTAAATTGCACATGTAGCAGATGTCAAAATTGAGCTGGTTTCACTATGGGTAGTGCAGCTCCAAAGCATCACACCGTCATCAAGGTCTCAGTGCTTGCTCTCAGTCTCAGCTGGTACTTTGGACATCTGTCAAGAGATGAATGTTTTTCTGTCTCAGCCTGGTCACATTTAACTTTTGTTCATCTCTAAGGCGATGATCAATATGTTTTCATATCCAGCTCTGAATTCATTTCCTAAACCTCTGATAATGCTCTAAATGGCACCCACTCTTGAAATGGCAGCAGCCACTCACTGCACCCCTGGAAAGTCATCTTTGAAATCATGTGTGTTTAGTTCAAGGCCTGATGTTGCAGAGATGCTGAACTTCTGCTGCTCCTCCACGCTAGCCCACAAACTGCAGGTGCTCATGCCACTGCAAACATCAGACGCCTACTCCCCAGGCACTCTTATTCAAAATGAAGCAATGAGGAGCCCTCTGCTTTGCTTTAGCTTTTTGTAAAATCATAGTGCAGCTGGATAGAAGCAAACATACGAGCTGTGCCCATACAGTGGCACTTCTAGCCGAGCACTGTTGAGTGTTTGGGAATTCAGACTAGTCAGAGTTCCTCCCTTCATGGAATCAAAGAATCATAGAATCATTAAGGTTGGAAAACCTCTAGGACCATTTAGTCCAACCACCAACTCATCCTCATCATACCTACTATGTCCCTCAATGCCACATTTACATGATTCTTTAACACCTGCTGGGACAGTGCCTTCCTGGGCAGCCTGTTCCAATGCTTTACCACTCTTTCTGGGGAGAAGTTCTTCCTAATATCCATCTTGAATCTCCCCTGGTGCAACTTGAGGCCATTCTCTCTCATCCTATTGCTGTTGTCTGGAAGAAGAGGCTGACCCCCACCTTGCCATGACCTCCTTTCAGGGAGTTGTAGAGAGCAATAAGGTCTCCCCTGAGCCTCCTCTTCTCCAGTCTAAACAATCCCAGTTTCCTCAGCCACTCCCCATAAGACCTGTATTCACTGAGCAGCTGATCCATTTCCTTCCCTGATTTCCAAAAAAATATTGAGAGACTGACTTGAGCTCCCAGAATGACCACTGATGGAAAAGTGAGACCCTGGCAGCAGCGGGGCTGGGTGAGTCATCATCTGAATGCAGAGCTCAGTTTCTGGCAGCTTTGTTAAGAAGTGGGGACTAGAGAGATGTTCAAAAGAAATATAGTATCTGATCATCACTGATCTTATGTGCATATATTTTGTTTATTCAGGAAGCAGATGTCAAATTCTCATGACAAACCAGTACCTGGAAAAGTGCTGAGTGCCAGGGGAATGGCTGAACTTGAAAATAAAAGGCTATCTGGAAATACACAAGCTGAGTTACATAAGGATTGTATTGCAAATGGAATTTACAATGTAATGGCTCACCTCTGCACGAGAGTGAGCCTTGTCATGTGCAAGCATATGTTACAGGGAAATCCACTGGGCTGTTGATGGAAAGCAAATATTATGTGACCCTGAATCTCACTTGATATTTTAAACCATAATAGTTTCAGATTTGAGTCACAATAAGTAGGATATATATATGTTTGTATATAGAAGCTTTTAAGCTCTGAGCAAGGCTTCTGCCTTGGCAATATTTTCACCCCAAATTGCACATTTGGTCCTCCATTCTCATAAATAATTGTAGCTTCAATCCAAAGTCAGAAATCAGATGAGAGGCTTCCGAACTTTGACAAGAAATCCAATTACAATGACAATCTGCAATTACAATTACAATCTTCTCTTTTCTACTCTGGCCACTTTGAGCTCCAGTTTCATCCACCCATGTTACACCTTGCTTCTTCACAGGGCTTCCTGCGTAGAGGTGACATCAGGATTGGTCCGATGCCTTATTTGCCCCTTTGGAGCTTTCAGTAGGAACAGATATGTTCTTAGCATTGCATGGAGAACACCCTCAGCCCAGGGTCTTCTTTGGAACACTCCTCTGTCAGGGCAAGAGCTGGAGAGGATGGCACATGAGAGGCACACATGGGGAAAAATCTGTTTTCTTTTTTTAATTCAACACTTTGACCTGAAACACTGAGGCGAGCTGTGCAAAGAGCTGCTTGCAGAGTAGAGTGCTGCAAGGTAGGAGGAGAGGCTCTACTTAAGAGGAAATCTGCCACAGTCTACAAAACAATCCCACCACAAAATAAAATTAAAAGTAATGAGATTTTCCACTGTTAACTTAATAGCAGCAAACCACATGTTCTAAACAATGTTTTTTTATTTTTTTATTTTTTTATTTTTATTTTTTTGGTGTGAGGACTCATTTATAGTAACAAACCCCAGACTATTAGCCCTGCCATTTTTCCACTGCTGGAGGAAAACGTGGACTCTTGCTGAGTTTGTATGGTGAATATCTCAGAGATATTTGAATCTGCCACCAGTAAAAGGCCTTTAAATGTGCTCGCATGGAGGAACCAGCTCAAGGTAAAGGAAATGGAAAAAATGGGAAAAAGAAGAGACCTCTCTTTGGATCTTTAGCTGTGTTATTTTTTTAGATTATATTTCTTCTGAGCTCCCAAAATCTTCAGTAACAAACAAGTTTTCTTTTAAAAAGTATTAAGTTATCATAACATTTGCCAGGTCCTAATATTAAATCGTAGCAGTCAGCAA